AGTAGTTTTTAAAGTTGCAAAATTTCTCAATTTCTAAGGATTCTAATACGAATTAAAAATTAGCATGATTTGATAGCAACTAGTAGATGACCTTTTTATCACATATATAAAAATTATTTCTGATACTCATATCAATGTAGTCTACAACTCTAGAACTATTATAAGTTTCTGAAACTTGTCTTTGTGATTACGCTTTGAAACTTTTCCCTTTAACCAAACCCAATTCATGTTATTTATATGTAGTCGATCCATATATTTACACGCCTTCAAATTTTACTTTTCATGTTAAAAGTTTGTTATACGGAAGTACAGAATAAACTTGGACTAGCTTTTTGCTAGAGAAATAGCATTCAGTACGGGATCGCAGTTTCAGCACGATGGTTGCTAGACTTCGATTGGTTTTTTTCTCTTGGTTTGTTTTGAGTGTTGAATGGTTGTATGGTTACGATTGGTCTATCATAGTACATCCATCATTACATGCGATGTCGTTGGTGCGCTTTGTTATTCCTAGTCGATGTGGTTCGCTTTCAGAGTGGCTTACTATTGGTAGTCGGGAGTTCATTTGGGTTCCTACATATTGTCCTGTTTTCTCAAAGCCACTGAGAAGAAAACATTGATAAAGCTTATCGATTCGAAATACTGTTATCTGGTCAATCAGTGTTAGTCAAAGTTTTCAAATATTTCGCAGAATCACAGAAAGTGCATTTTAAGAATGACAGAGGAGCGCCTTACATTGATTCTCCTTGAGATAATAATCCTGTTGCGATGCAATATTTCATTGGAATAACGGGAACGAAAAGGAAAGTGAACATACGCGACTCACTGCACAGAATTTTTATATGTGTTTCATATTTTTATTCTATTCGATGTATTACATTAATTATCTAAGTTCTTATTTATTCTAGATCAAGAAGTGAAAATCCGAAAATGAAGGCTAGAATAGTGAAAGATATACTGTTGATTGGTCATTCGTTCATTTATTTGGCTGCACTAGCCTCGCTCTACTGGCAGATACCAGGTATAAGGTTCATGTAGTTTTTGGGGAATTAATTTCCGAATGCTAAGTTCAATTTTTTAATCTTTTGGAAAAAGTTAAATGATTTTAAGGGGCTTTTATGTACTTTATGAATTATTCTGTAAAATTTTTCAGGGCTTTATGGAGAAAAAGGACTGATCCCAGTGGCATCGAAACTTTCTTGTGGTGGGTTGTTTTTGCTTTTTCGGTTATGAATTTCCTTATTAGGAAACGGTGAATTTATTTACCAGAACTTCCATTCTAGGATATCTCTGAAAATTCGTTGTAATTCATTCATTTCGTAGCATGAAAATAATGCAAAAGCAAATAAATATAAATGAGGTTTATTCATTAAATTAATTAAACTCTCTCTAATTGTCATCCTTATTTTCCAGGTATGTTTCAGTTTTGTTACCATAAATTGGATTTAAAATTTTGATGACATTAATTTTTTCTCCTTTTCTTTTTTTCTGAAAAAATAAGGTGTTACCTAAAGGAATGTTGGGTCATTCTTGTTGCAAAACGACTGCATTTTTTATTTTCTCATGCGCAGAGTTATACGCCCTTTGGTAGTTCTCGATTAGACTTGAATATTTACCTAGGTCAATTAAGTTCAAATAAGAAAAAATTTGGAAACAATATATGCCTTTCAGACAAGTCATCATGTCAATCATATCAAAATGGCGTAAATATTTTGCCAATTGTAATAAAATTTTTCCGCATAGCACCATCCTATGCTTTGCAAGTTGTTATTTTGTTCGGATTAGCAATTGCTTCTTTTTCCATAATATTCAACTTCATGCGTAATACCATCACATATGTTTTTCTTTTTGTCGTCTATTCTACCGCAATTCAGGTTAATATTTAACTCAAATTAAATCAATGCGTAACCACGTATATTACTTTCATAAACGATTTATCTCTAAGAATTATGCATGTCAGTTTATGTCACTTAAACTTTATAGTATCTGAGTTACTTTAGCGATTTATCGCTGAACAATCGAAGCTCAATCTGAATTCTACAGGTTGGCGACGTATTTCTTCGATTCCAATGGGACAGTCTTCTTATTGAGTCTGGAGCATTATGCATTCTTATAGCTCCGTTACCATTCGTGGGATCTTCACCAGCAGATAATATTTCGTTGTACCTGATGCGCTGGTTGGTGTTCCGGCTTATGTACGCATCAGGTGTGGTCAAACTCACTAGTCATTGTCCTCTTTGGTGGGATCTCGCCGGTACGTTTTATGAAAACTAAAAGTTAACATAAATTGATTGGGGTTTACTTCTTGTTGAGATAATAATAAGTTCATTAAATAATTCAAAATTTTACAGCGCTGGACGTGCATTTCGAAAGTCAGTGTGTGCCCACATGGATTTCCTATTACGTTCATATGTTGCCAAAATGGTTCAAGCATTTGTCAACCGCTCTTACACTCTATATTGAAATTATTTTGCCGCCTTTGTTTTTATTGCCATTGAAATATGCACGATATTTTTCGTTCGGTCCTCAGGTTTTCATTTCGTAGAAAATTGTCCTGCCACTTAATTAAATTTTCATCAAAAATTCCTTTGCTTTAAAGATTTTACTTATGGCTTTGATTATGGCAACGGGTAACTATAACTTCTTCAACCTTCTGATATCAATCGAATGTATAGCAATATTGGTGGATTCAGACGAATTCAAGTTTTGTAAGCACTTGATTTCTTACATGTTTTCTCCGGTGCGAAGTGATAGCTACGAACTGGCATATTTTTTGTGCTATAGTATCTTTTAAAATGATATTCTAAGTTTAATTACTAGAACTAGATAATTTGAATCATTGTGATCTGAATTGAATGGTATGGCTGGATAACAGAAGAATGCATGTTGATTTAATTGAAATTGGTATGCTAGGTATGCTAGGTATGCTACTTATTTTTTGTTTTGTTAGATCTTCGATAATTATTTTATGTTTAGTTATAAAGCTCAGTTTTTAGCTACGAGAGGCATATATCCACGATTTGAGCGTTTGTTGACACGTTTGGGAACGCTGATATCAGCTGTCTTGATAGCCTTAAGCCTATGTTTTTTTGTCTATTACTTTAATGTTGGTATTGATGGATTTAAAATAGTATCTTCAATTGGTGGGTCCTTTTTTTATTTTTTTAACTTTCGGATAAAGTTGCTGGATTTAATTAGGTTATGGCTGACTCTCCAGTCACAGTAATATGAGCCCTGTTGTTAAAGTCATAGGAATTTTAAAACTTTTCAGCATTCACTGCGCAACAGTTTGACGAATTTGTTGAAGAGTCGACTGTTTGGTTATTATACATTGGAGTTATTGGCTTCGTCGCTGAAGTTATTACTGCAATACTAAGGTTAATTGTGTTGAATTATGGAGTCAAGCAGAAAAGTAATTATATAAGCTGTTAATCATTTCTAAATCTCTTAAATCTCAGGTACTTCACTGAAATTCATGAATCAAAATTGCTTTCATTACTCCATCTGGTTTATATAATCATTATTGCAACTTTCTTCTTTTCAATCAGTACCGTATGTTCCAATTTTCTTCTTACCTAAGTTATTTAAATGTGATGTATGTTACAAATGTAATTTCATAAAAAATTTCATTAAATCTCAACGAAGTATATGCTTGTTTAATAATGTGCTTGTTTCACTCATTTCAATACCTGTGGATTCAGGTATCATTTGTTGTCATAAGTTATCGAGCACAGGAGCAAATTCCTACTGTGGTGAAGTACATGCATCATTATTCGCAATCCTACGAACTGACTCATTCATACGGATTATTCAGAAGGTGAATTATCTTTCCCAATTTTTAGTTAACAGAAGCATGTCATATTATCATTCGTGTAGTTATGAAGCTTATCAGATTAAATAAAATTGTAGGATGACTGGTTTGCATGGTCGACCAGAAATAATCTTAGAAGGTTCATATGAACTGAATGGTTCTTGGACTATGTTTGATTTCATTTCAAAGCCTGGAAAACTCAATGGAAGACCGCAATTCGTGTGTAAGAGATTATATATGATCAAATTCTTTTTATTAATGCATTTCTTTTTCCTGTTTAAATTGAAAGATTGAATATCCTTTTGAAAGTTTAGTGTTAAAGATTAATTTCAGTGTGCGGAAGATTGAATGAGATCTTGGTGATGAGTTGTCATATTTACAATGTGTATTTGCAAATAGATAATGACAGTTTTTTTTTTTAGTGCCGCATCAGCCGCGTTTAGATTGGCAAATGTGGTTTGCTGCTTTAGGAACGTATCATAATAATGCATTCTTTCTTTCTCTTGCTTATCATTTGTTACGAAATAATTCAGAAGGTGAAGTACTTTTAATTTGGAAAGTACACTTAGACATAGAAAAAAATTAAAATTGAAACTGAAGGTTATACTTTGCAGGTCTGTCACATTTTCTCATATTTCGTTAGATGCTATGAATTTCAATCTCTTCAGGGCCAACAAAAAATTTTTCAGTTACTTACCTCATGAAGAAATATCCATTTGAATCGAAGCTTCCAAATTTCATCCGAGCAAATCTTTATCTTTATCATTATACCAAGATCAATTTGAAGTAAGTTATACTGTGTTGATATTAGTGGAGCTTATTTTTATGATAAGGATTTTTCGTATATTCCATATTTATTTTGTTATAGAGATGAGTGGCCTAAGGACTACTGGCGACGTGATTTCCAGCAAAAATACATGCCACCTATTACTCGCGAAGATACAAAATTATCCGACTATTTGCACCGAAATGGCTTCGTCCTTAAAGTAATTTCCCATGAAGTTTTGCACATCATTTGTTTCAGGTAGTGAGTTTTGAAGTCTGTTTAACGAAACAGGTCAAGATAATTTCCGTTTTGCAACTTCATTTCAGGAACAATTTACAATAAAAAATCAGAATTTTGACCTGGAAAACAAATTACAAACTCTACATGGTCTTATCCGAACACTCGTTCCGACCACATTTGTTGATTCAGTCATTCTTGCGCATGTAGTTTTATTTGTAACGTATACCAAATTCAGAAAAGTCACAGTTATACAGTCATCCATTATGAATTGACTCACATTGTTATCTTATGTTCGTGAATAATCATGTTTTGTTGTTTAATAAGTGAAATAGTATTGTATGTCGCAAATGAAACTCTATTTTATTTTGGAACAAATGATCACCTCTTTATTACTTCTGTTTTAATTTTACAAACACAAGCACAGATCAATTAAAAATATCAACATTCTGCTAAAACTGTGTTTAAATTTGGGGTAAGACTGAGAAACTATTTTGTATTTATTTGTGATCTATGGTTTATTAATACTGTAAGATGTCCAGTTACTAATATTGATTGTGATAAAAACTGTGTTTGGTGAAATGAAAGAAACATATGGGATTGCATCTTAATGTATTTTAAACATATTATATTGTCAATTATCTTACAGTTATTCAAATAAATTTCCTCTTATGCTAATAAGTTCGGTGATGAATTCATAAAATAATGTGGCAAAAAATATTAAATTGGCGGAGACTTAAAATATCATGTAAAGCTTTGAGATTCATAACACGATTGCTTATGTTAATATTGAGATCAACGAAATGATAGAAAAATCAACAATCAGTAGGTTAGTAATGAAAATATTAGTCTTACGAAAAATGGGATAGAAAGGATAGAGGATAATAAGAGTAATTAATTTATACTGTTTTTGGTTAGATAATGAATTGATAATAGAAAATTCCATTTGAATAAGCTTCTCTTCTCGCTATTACATCCCAACTTTTTATCTTACCGTTTCCTTCCTGATCCTTTTGGTAAACTCTACAAAGTTGTACCATAAAAACAAGTCCGCTCCTTCTTGCTTGTTTATACTTATTTTTCTTATTTGTATTTCTTCATCTTTCCAATCCGTCTTCTTCGTGATGCTTCTCTTCCAAATATTACTTTGTTTGCTCGGTATATTTATTTTGATTATTCTTCTAAATACCGATTTTTGTTTCTTTCATAAGACATTTAAATAATTTAATAAGAAATTTACACCTTTTACTTCATTACTAGAAAAAAAAAAGATGCTCAAAACTATTTATATTACTGTAGTAATTTAACTTAATTTTCAAAATATACTTAGCGATTGAAAATATCTGTTATTTGTTATATGAATCATCAAACGTTACGGCTTTTGACGACTAGAACGTTTCTGGAAAACTCGAGATTCACTTTGAATCTACTTAACTAATAGAAGTATTTGAGAAATTTACAAACATTATAATGGATTTTTTATAATTGGAATTTTAAATTGAAAACTCCAATCAAAATAAGGATGGAATTATACAGGATTAGCTTATAATGAACATACTGGACAGTTTGATCCTATGGTATAAGCACTTTTTCACTTGAGCTATAGCGTTAATCATAAATATTCTAATAGCTATGTCAAAGGAATCACAAAGCAATAAAGTCAGATCATATGCCATTGTAACAAAGGTCACCATATCTTTCTAATAAAAAGGATTATTCTTACATCACTGATAACCTCTTATCAACAAATAGCATTACATGGTAGCTGGTACAAAGGAATACAATCTCGGCAATTCATTACAATCATTAAATCATTATGGTAAAGGAAGACATGGATATGATTCCAATGCTCTTGGATACTATCACAATACGACACTATCAAATGATAACTACAATTGGAATCAGTACAATGATCCCAGCAATAATCGTTATGGAAATTATGAGAATTTGGTAATTTTTAGTTCTTGTGTTTTTTAATGGTTTCTTGTTCCTAATAGTTTTCATCTTTTTTGCAACATTTTTATTTCAGCTGTTATGATTGTATTTAGATGAAATTTATTTAAACAATGATATACTTTATTCTTATATTCAATTAAAAAAAATTTTTTTAGTATCCTTCTTACTGCAGTGATTATGATCAACGACGAATAAGCTCGTGTGCTTACATATTGACGAAATCAGATGCATTCCAACAAACAGTTGGATTGCTTGAAAAACTTACGATGTGGAATATTTTTAGAAAATCTCGAGATGAATTGTTAAATATCTGCGAGTAAATTATTTCTAATAACTGATATCTGATAATTTTTGCAACAACCTTACAAAGTTGCAAAATATTTTTTTAACTTTAATTTACTATTATTTAACAAACATTGCATTATAATAAAGTTTATTAATAGGAGAAGCTTTTTTTTAGTGCTTATAATCTGTACAATGAATGTATCGGTGGTAATTCCATAAAGGAACTGTGTTACTCCCGGGAACCATTTCGGAGTCACTATGCTACAACTGATAATTCGTTAAGTTATGCGTGCGGTGAAGGATATCCACGTTTGTGTTTTTTAAAATTTCTTCAATCCAAAATTTTAACAATTCTTCATATATTATGAATGTATAATTTGCGATGATTATTTTAGAGCATTCATACACTTCACGATGCAATCTTAAAGGGTAAATGAATATGGATGTGAATTAGTACTATTTATGAATAGCTTAGGAACTATTTATAAAATAAGCTTAGAAAAGCTGAAATTTTAAGATTTGAATTTGGAAATGAATCACTGAGAAGATTTCAATGTTTGCAGTTCTGTATATGAGCTGGTATTGTATTCAAGAGGTTGCAAGAGGTGTTACATATATGGAATGCATCAATACCGTTAGAGCTGAACAGAAAATGGATTATTATCAGCTGTTGCCAAATTTATTAAGCGCTTGCAGGTCTTTCATCTTGAAGTTAAAAAGAGTTCAGGCCACAAAATGAAAGTTAAATTTATATTAACTTCTGATCTAACAGAAATTTGGAAATTTTCGTAGATGTTTCAGAAGTCTTTTTTTTAGCAGTTTGCAAGCATATGTCCGTTGTATCCGACCAATGGTTGAAAGTCGTTGTGGCCGACATGCATACCACGCGGTTTTGATGGTAAAATATTCACATACTTTTAAATTCGATCACGAAATTTTCATTAACATGAATTAACCAAAACTATTCGTCCATCAAGTGCAGTGGTCATTTAGATTCTTCTTGTGTATTAACTTATTTACAGTAGGGCTGTAATAGCTTTTATATTAATCGCTTGTTAAATAACTACCGATTGCTCAAATCCACCGGTTTAATCCGTCAATATATTGAATGTCATTGATGGAAGATAGGTCGGTAGAAAAGGAATGGGATTTGTATGTGAAAATTTCTTAATTCGATGGAAATTAATTAGATTCGATGTTTCCCATTCTTGTAAAATTTTCAAATTTGCAGACGATACGCCGTTCCAGTGAAATGCTGTTTCCGTATTGTACATTGGCTGCTACGTGGTATACCTATTCGATGACCCTCCAAGTTGTCTCTGTTATCATTGCATATTTCTTTTTATTATTATTATAATCATACATATTATATAATACAGTTGTCTCTGTTATTTCATCAACGATCTGAGATAAACGCCAATAAAATTTTGCTGGTGTTATTGAAATGAGTTATTGGAATACGAGGACTGTGTAAGGTACACGAGAGTTATCATTAATGTCAGGAATATCGATCGCATTTTATGTAGAACAGTCAGAGAGATCTAAATGGTTGTGGAAACTTCAAAATTCTTTAATGAAGTTGGATGCAGATTCAAATGAATATGGACAGTGATAACAATTTATAATATAGCGCACACTCTCGTGGGTTTTTATTAACTGGTCAACAATTGCAGTTCAGAGGGAAACAGAAGTGACACACTAAATTTTGGATGTGAAATTTGTGAAGAGATTTGAAGGGTGGAATAATGATGTACGTCTGAAAATGTTAACCGCTGGCAATTTGCTTAGCTTTAAAGAAATCCCACAGTCCTAACGATTCCCATAACACTGCCAGGTACTTTAGAGATGACAATTGCATTTGGGGGCCATGTGATGAAGTTGATATGTGTATCGTGCGTGAGAGGTGAGAGGGTAACGTTTTACGTAGTTTTGTTTTATATATGGCACTGTCCGCATTCATGACATAAGAGTTTGTAGGTAGATTTGGATAACGAAGAGAGTCAGTAATCGTTAATTTTACAAACCATGCATTTTAGATGAAACAAGCGAAGTAATTGGATAAAATCACAAATTTTTTTCACATTAGTTGAGTTTCAAATGTTCAGTTAGCTCCGAAGAATTCGAGTGAGAATACTTTAAGGATTCATTGAATTGACGACGGTTAATCATAGATGATAGAAGGTTATGAAAATGCAAACAAACCGAGAATTAGGTAGTCCTGGCCATCATATGAATGAAGTTCAGTGGTTACTGTTGTATGTTTTGGAATAGATCGTGTCTGCCTGAATTATGATGAGATGTTTCTGTGAAAAAGCAATACGCATTATGTTCATATATAGAATAAATGATGTATAAGCTTCTTTTTTTGTCATCCTTTTATTCAAAACTCAAAATTGCTTTAATAGTAAGAAAAATGGGACTGATCATTATGACTGTAGGAGCTTTATGGATGTTATTGAGGTGATCAAGCCATTGATGGATGTGGCTTTCGATGTTGTGCAACACTGCTGAATGTTTTTCTGATCCAGGTGGCTTTTCTCATTTTCTAAGTTGGCTCTTAATCGTGATTGATAACTGGTCGGCCATTTTAAATCTTAGTTTAGTCATATTGCAGTTTGCGAAAAATTGGTTTTCAAATTGCTGGAGGCTTGGAAAGATTATTTTTAATGGTTGGATGTAGACATGGAGACGACAAACATAATTTTTCAGGGAGTGCTGAATGCATCAGTGATTTGGTTACGGAAGAAAGCATTGCTGGAGGTAAATAATACGAAAATAATCGTTTTATCTCATTCTTATTAATGAATGAAGGAACAAGTGACGGGAATTCTCGGATTACCTGTTCGGATTCTTTTTTGTCTCTAAATAAGTCCTGCAGTTATGGTGTATAAGATTATTTGTAGATGTGGGAAGTGACAAATGGGCAGAAAAGTTTTGCCAAAAATTTATTAATAATGTGAATATGCGCTCACTCATTGCATCGCTTGTGTTATCTATCCTACTACTGAATTTTGATGCCTTTTGGTATGTCTCAAATCTCTTTCATTAAATACTGAAAGACCATCTAACGCCATAATTCTTTTGTCAGTGTTTTAGTAATTCAAATGGTCAGTTGAGTCAGCGGGAATCAGCTTCACCGAGACCATTCTTCCCACCCACTTCGAAGAAATATCTTGTTGACTATTATACTGGTAATAATGCCGAACCAGAGAATCTGTTATATAACTCTGAAATTGTTGTTGTTATGTATTATGCACCGTGGAGCAGGAGGTGCACCAGAACACGTGTAGTCTTCGAAAATGTTGCAAGGAGTTTAAGCGCATCTTCCGATGTAAGCTTATTTGTTACTCATATTGTTACTCACTTCTTTCTCTATATGCTTTAAAGGTGTCAAACTTTGCATCATTACTATTAAAATTTACCTTCTTTGAGAAAATTAAGTCAATAAAGATTTTCGCAATGGCGGTTCGGCATGTTATCCCTTCTTACCAAACATCAGGGCCTACTGACTTATTTCTTTCTTCTGGCTTCGGAAGTAGGGAACTGAAAGATCTATTATATCATTTAATATTTAATCATTGTTTCGTATATTAGAAAAAAGAGTTGTTCATAAGTTAATAAAATTAATGAGCTGAACATCTAATTTTAACGAGTGATAATTTATACTTTTAGAAAGTTGTCGAATCTGTCTTGAACTGTTTAAATTTCGTCACTATTTGAAAATATGTTCTTAAAATTGTTGTGCAGATATCATTCGCAGCGGTGAACTGTTTCTTTCCGCATGGAGAATGCAGAAAATCTCACAAAACCTACACGTATCCAGTCATTGTTGCTTATGTCGGAAAGCAAAGTTTAATGTATACTGGTTTATTAGCATCAGATTACATATACAGGTAAAAAATTTAACCCATTCATCTCCTTCCAAAAATTTTTTCATTTTTCACTGCGAATTTTCATTTTAGTCTCACCGACACTTTGCCATTTATTTAGCTGTATTTTCAATCTGGGCAACTGCTCATATACTTGTTGATTTAGATGGATATCATGTTTGCGGAACCCTATTCGTCGGCTTATAACTCCATTTGCTATGAAAAGCTTTCTTGACGAATTCGATGATGCAGTAATTGCATTTTTCCATACGGAGGTCAATTCTTTTAAAATTGCCAACGAGATAATTCATTTAGAAATTTGTCTGATGGTTTTGCAGTAAATTAATAAAGTTACTGATATTTTTTTCCAGGTGGCATTTGCTATATCATATGAATTTCAACAATACGTCCAAGCAGCACTAATTGTTTTCCAACATCGTATGTTTCCTTTCATTACCAAGAAAAAATTATCTCTAAATTTAAGGAGTCAATGATTTACAAGCGCTCTCGGAAATCTCCGAGATCTCAGTTTGGTCTCTTTTGTCTGTTTTTCATGATTATGATTGTTTTCTCTTTCTTATTATTTCGAAATTAGATTCCAGTTTCTTTCGAGTCTCTTGAATTTATTTTAAAGATGGAAGTTTTGTTAAAAATTAATGTGAATTCCAATCCCTTTGGATTAGATTTTTCTTTAACCCCAATTTCTCATTTTTGATTTGCACATCCATATTATTTTTCATATTTTATGTTTGGTTTGCAGAGAGAATTATGTTGAAATTGGAGATTTATGTGTATTTTATTTGCATGTCAGATTACTGGAATATTTGCAGAAGATTTACTTGATAAAGTTGGTTTCGCCGTTGTGACAAATTCGAGCTTAGCAATGAGCATGAATTCGTCACCGAAAACATGGCTTCAACTGAGATCTTGGAATCGCACTTACAATTATAATGAATCAATGACTGCTTATAAAATTTTCGAGTGGGTTAAAAGCCAGGCACTCAAATCAAATGGTCTTCAGTGGATTAGTCCAGGTTGTGATTCATAGTTACATTTTTATTTCAAATTTGGGGAATTTTTGACAATTATTTTCTCGAAGATTTTTGTTTCAGAAATGAATGGTATCGCAAAAAGTGAGGAGTTACTATCACTTTTACAACATGGTGCAACAGTTGTAATATTTGTGGATCGTCAGGTACTTTATCCCCATAGCTGGACGATTTCAGTGGTGAAACAGGTGAATTGAAATTTAATAGATCTTGAAGAAGTCTTATTAAAGTCGTTGTTATGAATTTTAGAGCTATTATAACTTACCGAATATCATTTCGTCAATTCATTAGATGTTTTGACTGGGAAAGGAAGGTTTTGGTTTTTCATTTCTTGTCCCTCTGCCTAAGATTTATGAAGTGATAAGGTATTTATTTTTTCAGTTAAACAAAAGGGAAAGAAGCAAAAGGGAAGGGATGTTACAAATCGTGGATAAGTTTGTTATTGTTGGCAGTGTTTTGTTTACGGATCTCCTAATTTTCAGTTCGAGATCTTATTATCACTATGCTCGAATCGAAATAAGATCTAATAGCTAGGGAGATATTTACCTCAACCATTCTCTATGGTATCTTGTTTTTAGACCATCATGGAATATTACACATGTAGTGCAGACTTAACGAATCAAATGAAATCTAGATCAAGCAAACTTGATGCACTGGTTAATGAAAGAAGTCAAATAATTACAAAGAGCATTCATAAATGCCAGAAAATCGGTGCTCATACTGTGGAGGTATCTTATTTTTATTGAGATTAGTGAAATTTTCGATTTGGGGAAATATATTTCTTTGATTTGGAGGATTACGTTAGTTGACTCACATCCTTTCAGATTCGAAAATGCTGCATGACAGTGAAAAATTCTTTGATGTTTCGTTGTTTCCAGTGTCGTTCCAAAGAAGGAGCGAATTTTTCGAAAAGTGAAAGTTGCAGCCAATTTCCATTGTTTTTTCATAACGCTTATTCGTCACTGTTTCATAATGTTCCTTGTTTATCCGTTCTTTCAACTTTAAGTGAAGGTTTGTTCTACTCAGATTATTTTATCAGTGAATAATAACTGCACAGAAATGCAACGTACAATGGTACATTTGTATTGCTTCCGTTATAGTGAATATTGGAAAGATCGCATGTATTTTAAAGATATTTGAAATTACAATATCTTGCAAAACGGAATATTTTTTTAGAGCAGTTGATGGATGATTGCTGTGCACTCTTGATTTCGAAAAATCAAAGTTTGGATGCATCACAGAGCACATTTGAACAGTGTGCCAAATATAGGCTTGCTCGAGATCTTTATCGTCATTTTTCTGGTTCAGCTCCATCTACCTGTTACCCGTTTGATGCAACATCAGTCGTGGGCCTTTCATGCGACAAAAATAATTCGCTACGGTTGGTGGGTTATCACTTCATTTTTCCCCAACTGTGGAGTTTATCATTCCATAGATTTTGGTTATACATGTACAATGCATCTTGCTTCTTTTCATACTTATAGGTCAGAGCTTATACTTGCAAGATGCAGTTTAATTATATAATTATTTTCAACAATTCTGATATCCTTTAAATAACTTGTAATGTACTGTCAAAGATTTAGGTTTATCGGTGTTGATCGTCAATATGGTGATTATTTACTAAAACGATTGAGGAGATCATACAGTGGACGGACTGTTGCATTGATTGTGGATCCGAGTAATGAAAGAACTTTTTTTATGCAAGCCGAGTTTTCCAGGTGGGAAGATTTTCCAAACGACATTTACATTTATCCGTTGTTCTACATTTATCTGTTGTTCAATTTGTATGGTATATAATTGACGATTATTGTTCTGCAACTAACTCATTCTTAATAATTCTAATATTCAGTAAATATGGTGAATCAATGCTAATTAGGCTAACCAGTTTATTTTCTTCAAAACATTTTTAGGCATACTTTCCGCGACTTTTTACGCGCATTTCACAGTGGCTCGTTAGTGCCGCACGTAATTTCTCAGGCGTTACGGAAAGAATCGGAAAAATTGGCACATGATAATTTGTCTGTTTTACCGAGTACCAATGCAAAGTTATTTAGAACAGATGTTGTGAGTATAACGGACTTTTTATTTCTTTCATCACATTAACTGTTTTCATTTCCCATGAACTTTTTTGATAGAAGACCTGATTTCGAAAATGTTTTCGAAATGAATTTTAAGTTTCATCAACTAACTCATAATAATTTGAAAAAAATATATGGGTATTAACTCTATATTGTATTTTAAATTGTTGTCAGATACTTTTTCAGAACTCATCTGAGGATATTGTGGTGTTTTTCTCTGGAGGAAATTGGCATGGATCGAGTGCTTCCGTTATTCATGTTTACCATTCAGTGGCCCACTACTTCTATCCCTTTCTTAGACTAATCAAATTTTACATGTATGGTTTGTTATTTGTTTCCATTATGTATTTAGAATTAATACCGATTGATATATCTTTTGTGTTTCTATTCTTGTTTTCGAAATTACCTTCAAACAAAAAAGTGTTTTTTAGAATTGATGTTTCATTAAACGATCTACCGTGGCAATTTCAAATGGATACGTTGCCTGCAGTTTTGTTTTTTCCTGCGGGAAGGTCGGTAATTATTTTGTATCAGAGTTATTGGTCAGAGCTTTGATAAAATGTTGTTGAAAGTTCAGTGGGAACTGCAATAAATTTGTGATGTTCATTCCTCCAATAAATAGTACATACTTTTCAGGAAATCATCTTCGTCACGATTTCCACCTTTAGTTCCACTTACGGTGCCAAATTTAATAGCGTTCATCGTGACGAGATGTCAGAGGGAGTTACGATGGCAGTTAGCCTTTTCTTCTTGTTCACTGTTATGTATGAAAAGGAATAGCCTACGTTTGCAGAAGATTGCTGTCATGATAAGGAACGATATCACATTACTGAGATTACTTGCGTCTTCCAACTACGAACATTCTCGACTTTTTCGACATTTAATACGGAGGTGATTTCCCTGGTTTTTATATTGAAGATATAGACTTTTAAGCTTTTGTGCATAAAGATGAATATATAGGAACCCTCGATAACGCGCACTTTCAATGCAGTGAGTTTGAAGCATTGTAGCTTCATAAAAAGGTTTTTTAATGCTTTCTTTTTTTCTTTTCCAGACGCTCTGAACAACTTCATTCCACTCGAAGACTTTTGAAGATGATGTCGATGTCTAAATTCTCTTGATACTAGCCAAGATGATATCTCAAAAATTCACGTAAAATTTACGTTAACGTTACTTCCTAAATTTCTGCTCAACCTTGTGATTTTCTCTGTAAGATTTTGCTTGTTGTGTATATTGCGGGTATTGACAAGTTTTTTCAAAAAACTGTTGAAAATGTTAGCGAGAATTGTGAATATTTATTTCGCACGTATTTTGAAATGAGTGGGGAATTGAAATTTATGAAATGGGACTCAGATCTCAATTTTTTTCGTTACCTGACATAAGAGTTAAATAGGATCTTTCACCCCCATTATAAATTATGCTTTATATTGATGCAGATATTTTGAGGTGATTGAACTTATATGTTTCCGTGTACTTTTATAAGCTTTGGTCATGTGATAAACAAGAAAAAGTATTTAAGAACTGGTAATGAAACTGACATCCAAATTTCCGTATATATTCCAAAGACCAAATTTCTTTTTCCGTCATTTTTTTCATCGTGGTGTGTCGAATAAATTTAGTCCTATTGTTGTTGTTTTTGCTGATTTCAGTTTTTGTGATCGATCGGTTTATGATGTAATGTTGGTTTACGTACTGTAAATATTCGATTAGTATACGATGTAATGGGTAGGAAGGGTAAATAAAGAAGAAAAGTGGAAATTTTTTGTTATGCACTTCATTAACGGACAACGGTTTATTCAGTAGATTTGAAATCTCACCTACTGAACTTCAATGTGTTACTAATTGATTGTTAGTGCTTTTTAGTTTCGGTACAGCCGAACGATATTTGATCTGAGATGATCAGTTTGTTTTTGAAAGCTTAATGTGGATTGGATTACGCTGCATTCAACTGAGAATTTGTCTCGCTCCACTATTATCACTTTGTTAGTGTTATGGGAGCGTTACAGTGATGAACTACAGTAGGCTTTTCAACTGTCTTAATTTGTAAAATGCGAAGTCACTAACTAGACTTCAACGGATTATCCCACAAATATATTCCATTCTTCCCGAGTTCAAGTTGATTTTGTTATGCGCTTATTTTACACCGTGTTCGGTTTTGGGATCTTCTAGCAGAAGTTGTCAAACTTACGCACTTATTAGTTAATTTCTTTCCGAGAAAAAGAAGTGGTGTCCAAATCCCGATAACAATAATTGGGGTGTGTCTCTTATTGTTTTAATGGTATGGGAAGTTTTAATAAATGGAACAAAACAAGCGAAAGAAACACGACAGGTTCTTAGTGTGTCACGGGAAGTTTTTTACTCAACCATGACTGTACGTCATTAAATTCATTAAGTAAAACCTCAGGCAAATATACCTTCTTCTATCCTTTCATAACTGCAGTCATAATAGGATAACAGATTTCTATATTACACTTGTGCTTTCTATACCTCCTTCTGCTTTATTCCATTCATTTCCTAAAATTTATAGCACATTGAGGAAAATTACAAAGTTGCGCTATAATAATTGAAAGATGGCATTGAGGGCATATAAAAAAAGTTTGCAAATATGAGTTTGGACAAAAGATGTTTTACATTTTCGCAAACTTCAAAAAGCATGAAGTGTTATTTGCATACATTAGCAAACATGAATAGATATAATTACAGAACGGAGTAGATCTTTCATCTCTATTAACAAAAGAAACATCGTTTAAGTTAGCCTTTCTCCTCTTCAATATTATTTCTTTTATTTGCAAAACTTATATTATGACCCTTGAAAGAGTTTACATTATCAGAGGATCTCCTTGAAATACATTTTCCTACAATGCCGTAAAGATTATATGTTGACATCATATCTCAAGAAAAAATTTCACTAATAAGTTGGTTGTTTGTGATTTGTGTGAAGATTCAGTTAAAGCGATCGTACAACACAGTGAAAATGGTGTTATGGATTATATTCTAACAGAATTAATTTTAATTCACTGATAGAGAAAACAAGATAAACGATCATCAAATATGGAATAATAATAATAATAATAGCCGATAAGAAACATGCCATGTGGCGCACCTGTCCATTTTAGTATTTTCATTATTTCTTCCTCGGACATGATACAATGTAGTAATCCAATCTGGTAATGGTGTATTATAATGCGATATATAAAATATATGTAATAATGCTATTGTATATTTAAAATGGAAATGTAGACAGTTTGTGATAATGGCGGCGAGGTAGCGATAATGGCAATGGCAATGGAAGAGACGATAATGTCGGCAGGGATGGAACTGAAATCGATTGGAGCTTTTTGTTGCTTTTGAAAAAGTAGCTTTAGTGATGGCTAAAAACAGTGCATTTTTGCTAAATGTATACTTTAGGGTAGTTCAATGTTTGTGTATGTATATGCATGTATGTATGTATGTATGTATGTATGTACGTGTGTATGTATGTATATATGTATGTATGCATGTATGTATGTATGTATGTATGTATGTACGTATCTCATGTAGATGTCATCTAGTGATGTGTGTCACTTTGTTGTGTCATGGAAACAAATATAAGTAAAGTGATATTTTTATAGGTTGATCGAGCAGCAGCGAGTATCTAAAAAGAGGAGAGTGCACCATCATCATACATACCATCTACTGTGGATTATGGCTGCACCTTGAAAAGGAGCAATAACCGCTTCAGGTGTGTCTGTGTCACCGTTGGCGGCTGTCTCGATCCACACTGGAAAAGGAAACTGTGATGGGGCAGCTTACACTCTTCCCTTTGTTCCACTACACCCAATTTTCGAGGATTGTCAGTGTGTTTTAAAAAGCATTTTTTTTTCCTATTGTATATATCCCCCACCATATATACATATATATATCATATATATGTGTGTGTGTCACCGTTGGCAGCTCCGGTTTCGACCCAGAGTGGGAGAGGGACTGATGAGGCAGCTTACACTCTCCGCTTGTCCCGTCACACTCCATTTCTGAGAATTGTTAATGTTTTGAGAAGCATTTTTCCTATTGTATATATCCCCACCATATATATATATGTGTATGTGTGTGTGCGTGTGTAGGCAGGTGGGTGTGTGTGTGCTTGTGCTTCCTAAATTGACGGTTGTCTCCTCATGGTTTAACTCCCCCGCTTCCACTTCAACTCTTCAGTCGTTGTAACTAACCGTTTCATCATTAGTAGTTGCTGCGTGTACACGGGTACTAAATGTAGCAAGGCAGAGCATCTTTCATATCAGTTCCATTTTTCATTTTCCAGCGTCTTCTTCGTATGATGCAGATAGATCCTAGACTTTTTAGATCAAGGGAACTATGATTGCTTCTATCTTTCTGGGCAATGCTTAAGGCGACATTGCTTACAGTCACATTTCCTTCCATTTCACTAGACATAAGTCCCAAATCCATGTTTGCCAACGCTTTCTTGAAAGCCGCTTTTTTATACATTCCTTTTTATTTATCTGGTAAGAGTGTTAAAATATGTACAAATGTTTACCTCAGTCAAAGAATTTCGTCAGATCCGATTTCAGTGCCTGATGGTTTATTAATCTGGAATGTAACGATTTTTTTCTGTCTCATGATTATCGCGGCGACTAGATTTAGCAAGTATAGAATGTCTTCTGGTAGCAAGGTGCTTGTGTACGAATATACTGTTCTTTCACCTTCGAAAAGATGATTATAGCCTGATACTACTCCGTCTAATCCGTAATTTGGTCAGGTGTTTGCTGATTCGCATCTCCCAGTCTTCTCTAACTACTACATATCTTCAATTAGTTTAATGTTTTGAAGTCTCTTTACTGTCTTATAGTTGCAGTGATCAGATTTTGCAAACCCCTCTAAAAATTGGACATGCAAAAAGGCAAAAAGAAAAGACAGGTGAAGTGATGCTAGTAATGGACATCAAATCCTAGAGCTGGGCGTAATAAATGTGGCTTCTATTGAAGTACTGTGATCCATTCCCTGACAGTTTGTGACAACAGCTGTGTCCTTGTTTGGCTTCATATTTCATTCACCATTTCAAAACGACCGACCTTCTCACTGCACCAATTTTAACCTGTTGCTAGAAAACATTCCATACTCTTTTGTCAAATAAAATTTTGTAGTATTTATCTCGGAATTCTTAAATTTTGTAATTTATCTACTCAATACAGAAAAATAGTAAGTTTAGAAAGTGTATCGTTGAAGTTCATGTGAAAGCAGAGAAAACTCCCTACATAACGCTCATTTATCGTATTGGCTATGGGTTGTGCTTTAATGTTCCTAAAAGAATTAGGGATTCAATTACTCTGCTTATTATTCAGAAATCAAATGTGATACAAATCAAAAGATTAAGGTTTATTATTCAGAAATCAAATGTGATACAAGTCAAAAGATTAAGGTAATAGTCTCGAGTTAAGGTGTATGTTATTCAGTTTTCCATCTGCCTTTTTACTATCGACTTACTGACCCAATAATAATGCTTTTAAATGCTGTTCACTGATCTCGCATCAGCCGGATGTAGTTGTTGTTGCCCGTGATTGTAACAAATCAATTTATTAGATCGTTAAATAATCGGAAACATAAGTCATATTTAAGGAAATATCAGTGGTGAAACGATCACCCGAAAGGTACCGAAAGAGTTATTTCGGTCTAATTTCTTTGTCGCTATTTTGCTATCTATTTCGCTATCCGGATGTACCACATGTACATCGAACATTTGCTCATCTCAAGGAAATTTCTCACATTTGTTTCATTGGGTTCCTTTTTTTAATTTAGGATCGGAATTCTCTATCTTCTCCATAAGTGAATGCAGGATTAAAATTTCTTTACTAAATCATGTCTAACAGCTATCTTCTGCTGTGAAATAAAATCGATGTTACTGGATTATATTTTATAGAATTTTTTGTTAATCCACAGAACTACATGATGAATTTTTGAAGGAAAGTATTTGCTACTTTTTAGCAGTTTTCCCTCATAAACGGAAGTATCCCAGGATAGTGGTAGTAACGCAGCCTGAAATTACTTTCGAATTTCCAATAATTCATTCGCGTAGGCACCACACTCAACGCAATGTAAGATCATTTTATATATTTTTTATCCTGAGTATACTGCAGCGACAAGCATTGCATGCGCATTTGTGAAAAAAAGTACATGGTTATTGGCGATGCAACAGATGGAGTGCAACTGTACTCTTTGAACATAGATCATCCGCTGCAAAGTGGCGTATTGTATTTTCATTTTAGAAAGAGAAGTTAGCTAAATCTGGATTATCTAGAAATTAAACACAACCTAAACTTTATATCACACATTAATCTGATGGACTCAAAGGTATTTTACCAGTTCGATATATTCCTGTGGAAAACGTATGTTGCATAAGTAGAGCTGAAGAATGAAGAATGAGGCACGGGAAGGTGGAAGGAGTGTAGGCTTAAACGAGAGCAAATTTTTGCAGGACATTTAATTATGTGGTTTCCGAGATTCACCTATGATGAAATTTACGGAAATATATGGAGAATGCACAAAAACAAGTTGTACATTCCTCACGTTATGTAGAAGATTGAGAGCCGGAATAATTTGGTATCTCAGAAGAAACTAGACATAGATCTCAAATCAAGAGCTACCATTATCAAAAGATAAAATAAATGCACTCTTTTGAAAGAGTTATTAGGAAGTGGGAAATCCAGGAGTTCCATTTTCGTCGGTCCAGCCATTTACCGGTCGAAAATTAAAGTATCCATCTTTCGGTTTCTTTTCCTTTTTTCCAATTCCAATCATTGTTGAAGTTGACTGTCCTTTTTCGCCTTCATTCCTAGCATTAACTGCTTAACCAGCAGTTTTAGCAAAATAGTCGATTGCTTCATCAGGAGACTAATGCTCAAGTGTAGCCGACATGAAATTGTGCCAGTAAAAGGAGAGTCCGATTACTCGTGAAATTCCCAATTTCATTTTTTCATTTATGTTCAAATCATAATTTCATCTTTCTCACCATGACGCGGCACTCGTACCACAAACGAACCTTATGCTACCGAGGTGATTTTCAGTGATGCAATGATACAACCATTTTAGAGAAAACTGAAGATGTGCATTTCTTTCAAGACGATATTGATAGCAAGTGAAAATGTACTTCAACTGGTATCTGATATGAGGAGATTACTACTTATGCGGTGCTACCAAAATAGTCTAATTGGTTCGTGACAACTTTTGGTCAGCAGTTTGATTTTCCAGTAAGTTCTTAGGGTTCCTTGTAGAAAGTTTTGTTATTTGAATGACATATGTTTGAAGCACACGCGCTGATGGTTGTTTGTATCCAACCACTCAGCTCTATTTCGAAACATTTTTGAGCTTTTTTTGGCGGAAAAAAAGCTCTGCTTCTTGTGCTGACACCAAACGCGTGCTAGAGGATGGAAGGCCGAAAGCAAAGCCCATTTGGTAGTTTGCCTGCTCCTACCGCTTTCCCCTCCTCTTCACACCGTCAGCACCCTGCTTGCTTCATCTATCGAATTTTTCACCGAGTTCGTTCTTCAAGGCAAGCCACTTCGTTGTCCCTACCTTCTTCCCGGTTGATCCCTGCACGACCACTAACCCCACTACCACCTCCAAACAAACACACATAATACACATACATACACATACACACACATACATATACACGCCCGGCATGCTTTCAGAGTGATCGACGCGGCTAAATTTCGAGCACTTCGTCCTACTGGAAGAATGCCTGCATCACGATGCGTGTTGCGTGGCAACAGCGCTGGCTGGAAGAACACACATATACGCCATGCCGCACTCAGCTGACTTTCAGCCCTTCTCAGCTGATGTTTACATGTTGTGATGGACTTACACAGTCCTATCACACCTTCTGCACCTCCCCTAACTCTCTTCACTCTATACTGACAGTCTTTCTCTATCTCTCAATGCTTCCCATCATTATCATTTCCGTGCTGGTTTTGTTTGTTTCAGCAAAAACTCATAGAGTCATTGTCGTTATTTGCATCTATACAATCAATCCCTCCTCAGTGCGGGCATTACTAACTGTATCTTGTACAGATGGGTCAAAGGTCAACTGAGGATATATGTTCCATTAGCTTTTTTAAGGGGGAGAGAGAAGTATTTTGATTATGTGGCACATAATTTTATTGGGAGGAAATAATCAGCCCAACTTGAGGCTACAAACAATGACAAGCGTAATTACCTTATGATCAGGAGACGGCCAGTGATACCTTCATGATACTTTGTCCCTCAATTAAAGCCTAGATAAGATAAGGCGAAAAGCGTATTTCCAGTAAGCAAAATAATAACCCTAATTTCTGTAAACAAAAGCATCAGAAATTGCTGGAAACAACATACGTACCCTGTGAAATAAAATTTTAAAGTTACAGCTGATAAGTTGATAACTGCTGTACATTTGCATACATCAGGTCGCGCAAGTGACATCGGCAGCCGTAACGCGTCTGTTTGCAATTGGTAGCAATATGACAGCATCGAATTTTGAAATTATGAAGTTTCTTGGCAAGTAAAAAAAAAATGTAGCACGTATAATATATACATATAACGGGCATATAAAGCATACGTCTAACGAGATACAATAAATAGTCATAACAAGCATAGCAGAATTAGTGATTAATGGTTGTAGATGTGTATGGATGTTTTTATGTGGGCTCTGAAAGGTACTGTTGATAGTTTAGAGTCCGCCGTTATGCCGTCGTTCAGGGAAGTCAGCTTTCGAACGGTTGCTTTTAGTTGATGCTTCCTCCACTCCTTACCTCATTTTGTCTGTTTCATATATCTATCGATCAAAAATTTTCATGGCTCTCACTACACAACGAATATTTGACAGGAAGCACTGCATCAGATTAGTGTCGAGGTACCCTGACCTGAAGCTGCTTCTTACATAATAATAGATTCTTAAATCAATATATATTTACTCAGTTACCCAGAAGTTTAAAGTTTCAATAAAACACAGAAGACTCGAAATTCCGATTCTTTCAAACAAATTCTGTGTCCATAACGTAATGCAGGAAAAGAGGGTCACACATTGATCTTTGAGTTTGCATGGTTAAATGTCACATCATCTTTTGTGCGCATAAATATTTTATGAAAGACTGTAAAGATTGGAAGAGATTTTCTGTTCAAGAAATTAAAGCTATCATATAATTGTGCATAAACAAAGCTGGAAGTAAACTGTATCACTTGATGTCTTTTCCTTTGAATTACATCATGTATCACAGCATTTTCGAGATTTCTACACATTGGCTTATGATGTGATAATAATGGCTGCCATATGTAACATGTTGAATTATGAAATCTGTCATTTTCGACTTCTATTTCGTTATCAGTGAAGATCATTTTTCAGATCGCTATTTGAAAAACATGTGATTCAGCAGTCATCTGTAATTTTATTTTGCTGAAGCATTTCCGCTAACTGGGAAAATGCGTTCATCGACTGCAATTAATAGCTATTGGTTGCGTTGGTTAAACGATACAAGCAGCTTAATTCAGTACGTTTAGTGACGTGGAGAATCATTTGGTATACAGAAAACGGAATGAATACCGATGACGGTCTGCATGCCAGAGGCGCCATTCACATGGGTATCGCCAGTTTGCTACACATATCACCATGGTATAGTTCACATACCGTGTGTCGATCCGTGCGCAGCCTGTCGTTTCATAGATTGTAAATGCACCTGTCTGGTATGCAGACCGACTGAACGGTGTTGCACCTTCCACACTGAGACCGTATGCGGGAATTTGAGTTTAAAGAAAACCAGGACATATTTCATTTCATGTATTTCTCCGACTTACTCTACATACTAACTTCACTGTCATGATGAGGATGGATTTCGAGCAGTAAACCGGATTGTTGGTGAAACTGAGATGCTCTCAGCAGTGGATGATGAATTTCTGCGATGTAACGGTGTGGAATGAACGGATAGAAGCAAAGTCTACTTGGGAACTCCATTAAACTCCCATCTTTGCGGTGCTGTGGTTATTTCGTAACCTTTTCATGTGATTCTAATTATCGTTGCTGGACATTTTTGCTTATTGCAGGCTTGTTTATCCGATAGAAAAGTCTATCATTGGAAAAGATAACTTTACATTAGAGGGAACAGTTTAGCTGAAGTAACTTTCCGTCCAGGAAATACCTCAAAGGAAATCAATACCATTGTAATTCATCAGTAACAAGCAACAAATGATGACCTCGAAGTGTTGATGGTTATTGGATGGCTGCAGGCTATCTCTTTCAATCACTTCACTTCTTCATTTTTTCTGTTTTTATTTTTTCGAGTTCCACCAAAAAACGTTTTCCATTTTCCCTGGCTGTCATGTCATGGATGGGGTAGGATAGATAGATGGGTGGTGCTTGTTAATGTTTTCTGTTCCATGTCTTTAGTTTCTCTCTCGTGCCATAGCATCACCACAAGCACTTCACTCTTGGAGCACCACTCGTTGTCGAGGAGCCACACTCTCTCTCCTTCCATGCCAAACATCATCATCACCATCATTATGCTGCCATCTTTGTAGATATGTATGTACCCCGCTCCCGTTCCCGTTCCCGCTTTTCCGACCCCTGCTTACCACTTGCTGCTTCACATGGCGTCAATTTCATCCTCCCACTGCTTATCCTTATCTCCATTTATCTAGTAATCATGGCTTTAGCAGTCCATGCTGGTTTGGTTTTCATTGCTTCCACAGTTATTCTGAGTTTCAGCTTTCTCCTACCTGTACAAAAGTGAAACGATGGATCAGAAATCTCCAAATATGGAACGGGGGCTTACCGGGTGGCAGTGTGGTTAGCTGGTTGTCAGCATTTCGGACAACGGCTATCATCACTGCCGTCCTGGTTTTCCCAAAGTTCAGCATCTCCCTCTGCGCAAAACAACCTTTAGGACCATATTTCCTATTATTATTACTTGTTCATTTTTTTTCTTTATGATCATTCTCCATTCCCTCATCCGAATCCACCGTCTCCATGTTTCATTCTTTCTCACCTTCCACTTGCACTCTTAACTTGCAGCCGGTGTATCGGTCAAACTTACCAGTGTATTCACACTTCAATTTATTTTTTTAGTGCTTTGTGGAGGCGTTTCGATTTCGAATTCTGTTGTTGAAGCGAAGTGAACGCTCCATGTAAGTTGATTTTGAAAGTACTTTTAAAAATTGATTTTAGCAAGCTGGTGCGTTCACGTCTGTGGTATTACCCAATCGCCAATCCATTCTACTGGTTTATCACAGGCAGTGAATAGCATCGCCTTGTTTTTCAGTATTCGTGGAAACTGTTTTACTGATTGCATATGGTGTATGTGGATAGTGAAGAAATCAATTATTGATTATGTTGTATTGGTTTAGTGGAGGACTTTTTTTCTTGATTTTTTGTAAGAAAATTAAATGAAGTCGGCAAATAGGTGCAGACGGTCTGATTTGGTGTGTTTGGGGGTTTGTAGTTGTTGTGTTCATCAGCAGCATCTTCGTTCTCAATTCTCAATCTGTGGCCGATATCGAGTTAAAGTAAGAGTGCATGTTTTATTGATTTTGCAACGAGATCGCTAGCAAGCGCGTGTGGCACGCCTCATATACATGTCGACTTATTTGCCTGGTTCCCTTTCGTCTTTTTCTTACGTCACCAGCTCGTCTACTGTTGGTGAAATAAGCTTGAAACATGGTATTCATGGGAAACTGCGAAAAAAACCATAAGTATAGATTCATTTGTTAGGGTCAGGGTTACACGAAGGAATGAGAGTGGAACAAAAGCTAAAAAATTGGTGGACAATATACCATCTTATCCTTGCTAAAATTGTAAAGGGACATTTTGTTGGTAAACGATCCATTAAAATTTGAAGTAGACTCGAAGAATGCAGCGTTGGACCGGTGGCATAGATTTTACTGGGATGCATGGTTCGTGCTGTTTATGAAGTTGTTGGAGGAATGCGCCAGTGATTTTTTGATATAAATATCAAAGACTTATTGCAACGATTTGAAGTTTTTCAAAATTATCAGGTGGTATTTCTAAGGCCTAATTGGAGTATATTCGTGTTGTTTTGTACTAGCCATATTTATCTGAGAAGAATGAGGTGATATGTTTCCAGAGTTTTATGATGTGAGTTAGCCATTGAAATCGAATCTTTTTTGAACCGTTTGCCAGATATTTTAAGATAATTAAATGTGGATATAAAGAAGCTTTAGCGTTTTCCCACAATGCGAATTATTTAGCTTTCTTTCCTGAAGAAAGACAATTACATATAAGAGAAGAAGCAGGGAAAATCCCATCATAAGATTTTTTTATTTAGTGCAGTAGAGATAATCGGTTACCTTCACCTTGGCGGACTGACGTCCATGAATTATGCAGAAAAGATAAAAATGATGGAGAAATTGGGGAACATGGATTTCAAGAACACTTAGCGCCGGTTTTAATGGTAATGGATATAATTATTGACGCATTTGCATTGCAAAATAGTTTATCATCATATCTGCCACACTTTTACTTATACATGCGATAAACTATATGATACCAAAAAATTTTCATTTGGATTAAAAAAAGGAGACTTGACTTTGCTGTCGTTCTGTATTTGTTGCAGTGATCTTACCTTTGTTCGTGGTCCTTGTCCTCTTGGGAAGGTTAAATGGTTGTCATCGGTTGCCTTTGATGCTAGTGTTTCTCCTTTCTTACCTATTTCTGTTGTTGTCTCAGTTTTCAGCTATTTTTTTTTTGATTTTCCTGAAAAGGGTGTTTATATATACTTTAGCATCATCCATACTCTCTCCTACAAAGGACACAGTGTGAAGTGATAGGATCGCACAGTTCGAGCACACTGTCGTGATGCTGTGCAAGCTGCATAGGTTATCAAGAAGTTGCAGATATCATCAGTTCCCTAACTATTAAGGCATGGAGTATTATTGCACACGTTTCAGATAGATTATTACATCCATGTAGCGGTTTTTCCTGTCGAGTAGCAGTTCAAGTAGTGTCACATATTTGTTATTTTGAAATTATTTGGACATAAATCTTTTGATCTCCATAAATCCTTTCACTATTCTGCGAGTGTGTGGGCTAGTCGTTTGTATTGGACTTCAAAAAATTGATTTCAGCGTATAATTGAGTGGCGGGATATATCAAGTGTAGTATTGGCAATTTAAGAAATCAGTTTTATTTTATGAATGTGATAGGTAAGGTTTCAAGGGTATTAGTGGAGAAATTGTTGCTGCTTTTTCAGGGGCTTATAAGTTGAAATATCCACGACTTTGTTGTTAACTACTTAATTTGGTAATTTAATGTAAAGCACTGCTTCACAGGAAGTGTTGGTTCGCTGTTTGGCATTTACAAAAGATATAATTTTGGAATTGACATCGGCAGGTTATTTAATATTGGTTTTATTTTTCCTAATCCATTATAATGGTTGCAATAATTTAATGCAGTCATTGATTTTGTGTCGTTGTCCTCTAAGTATAACAGTCGACAAGATTTGTACATTTTAGGAATTCCATTTTTATGGTTCCTCACGCGAGCTACTATAAAATGTAGCGCAACATTTGCGGCGGTGCAAAATGATCCCATATTAAATTCATCTGATTTCGTTTAAGTCTTCATCTGATATTGCAGAAAACGTTTTCATATTGGGTTGGTTTTTCACAGAAAAGCGGAGTGCCACCCATGCGCCTTAGGAATGCACATATTTTTATGTTACCTCCATTGAACTTCGCATCTGTCGGAAAGTGCAGTTGAAAAGTTTTTATAATGTTAGGCAAGCGATATTAGGTAGGAAATGAGTATAGGTATCGTCAGGAACAATTGAAATTTATTTTGGTTGCATTTGTTCTGCCAGCATTCTCGGCAACAGAACCGTAACGGGTGACTACTTAATACTGTTAAATACATGGTAATTCTAGATTTATTAAGGGAAGACAAAGTTTTTTCCTCTTGGTTAGCAACGGGGCGTTTTAATCGTACTATTTACCTAAGCTTATAGATGATTTTTCAAGTGTTTGCTTCAAAATAACAACAAAAAATAAAAAATAATGGAAATCTATTTCCATTATGTTTGTTGTTATTTCTAGTGAGAACGTTTCGACGCATATCTAATCACAGATTTTTTTAAACCTTTAAATGCGAGTCATCCTTACTTTGCTCGTTTCGTTATATGCCCTTCACACCGTGAAACACCCATTATTTTTTCATTATTTCGAAGTTCTTTGACTGATTTATCGATTTGAGATCAGTTTCCTTAGTTCCAAATTTTGTTAATGAAATGTGCTGGAAGGTTGATTGTTTTTGTTGATTTTGCTTTTGTTGACAAGAATTTTACTGGTCAAATTCAAAGATGCAGGGGAACCTCGCTGTGCCTCTTCTTCGGTAAAATGATGAGCACAGAAGAGTGAATGCGATGCTCTTATGACTTGGATTCCCTCCATACAAAAAGAGTTTCTGATTAATTCCTTCAGCTTATTCGAAAAGTCGGAAAGCATCCTTTTTCAAGCATTTACTTTGAAAAAGTACTGTTAAGTTGTAATAGTGTCCTTTATGAAAGGAAAGAAGGGCTCATTTTTCATTGAGATTGAATTATCAACGCTACTTTTTTGGAAGCATTCGGAATTTAGTTTTATAAGAAATAATTTTCCACTTGGTAAAGATTTTGTATGTCGATTGCTGATATATTATTTACAATGCTTTCTTATATTTTATCCACTCGTTTTAGTACAATTGTCTGAAAAAATTGAATGAAATGGACTTCTTCCTGAATTCACTGGGATGCCGATATTTTAACTTTTGAATTAGCCATTATACCTTTTCAACATGTAAATGTTGTTAGATATATGTTTTGAAAGCATGACATTTTAATTTAGAAATTAACTGTCAGTTTTTTGAAATATAGCCCGGGGTTTTTAAAGTCATTGTGCTCAAGTTAATATCTCGGTCAAATACAACAATTCGTATAGAATTTTCAGGGAGGTGCTTTTTGGAATCGCGAAGTGGATTGAATAACAGGGCGCTACGGTGCGACCCGTAACACTTTGTAATATATTTATCTTTGATATTTTGCAAGAGAGCGAATTGTGCAGACCAACAAAAGTGCCGTGAACAAGTAGTACTTCAGGCATTATAAATCGGTATTCATGCCAGTCCACTTTTAAACTCAAAAATATTTCGAAGTCGTGTTTTTTTACTGTTTAAACATCTATTTGTATTTTCGAACCGACCGACCAGCTGTTGCACTGCGCTTTGTATACATGGTTGGTGAATAACCGTTCATTTTCATATAGTTTTTAACCTTTTTCATCTATCCATTTTTGATTCTCATTTACACTACATTACGGTACGCATTCTAATCATCCACTTCAACTGTAAGTGATGACAATTTATTAAACATTATATTCGCAATCAAAAGTGAGAACATGGAATTTCGAAATATGGAGTTTTAAATCATAATTTAAAGTGGAAATGAAATCCTCTGTTAAAATTATTAGATAGTGGAATATACAAAACAAGTTGAACTAAAGCTAAACTGTACACCTGGTCTTAGTCACTTCTGTTCGGAATGATCCAAGCAAAAATTGCTGGATGATTTTGAAATACGATTTTCACCTTGTAATGTATCGAGTGAACTGTGACAGATACAACATTTTGTTTATAAAGGTATAATTAGTAATATAAGCATTAGTAAATGGAACGGCAGGGAGCAAAGTAATGTCATCAGCCAGCCGGTGGTTTGAAAAATGACCTGAGCGTTTTTGAACAGTACCCGGAAGTCGCAAAACTCTTTACTAAGCAAGTTATATTTGATGAAAGGAATGCTTAATTTACACTAGAGAAACAAATCATTGTGAATATAGTTTGAACCCTCCGGATAACTCTCTATTTCTTCAATAATTTCATGTTCAGGTAATCAATCACTTGAACATGAAACATTGTTCTCATGGTAGTTTTCTTTTACACTCTACTGCATTGATGTATTGTTACAATGTCGCATGTGCTTTGTTTTGATTTGGTTTGTGTATAATTCACTGGCTCATTCACTAGACGTTGTTCAAACCTTGTCAAAACCATAAAACTTTTAAAATGCCAGTTCGTCACAGCCTTTTCACCGCAGTTCTAGGGAACTTAATTGCAATTCGCATTTATAAAGAAATAAGATTACGAGGCCTTCTAGGTAGTCGGGTCATAAGAATTGTTAATCAGGCTCGTGCTATATGTTGAGACAATAGCACATCCGAGATAAAAGTCAAACTTTCATGTCATCAGATGTTAAACTCCTTGTCAGCAAGGGGATGCCGGGAAGTGATGCGGTCCTACTCGAAGTGTTTAACTATTCCAGTTCATGTGTAGTTATGAAGTGGTGGTAGATAAGATCAAAATTTCGTTCCGTCCTTAATGTATTTTATTTTGTAATAGGTAATGCAGTTATCCTGTATAAATTTGTCGGAACTTAGAATTGCATTGCGGCTTCTCAACTCCGAGTAACAAGTCGTAAAAAATAGCTCCACTGATAAAGGAACTCGGAAATGTTATGGGTCAAGTTTTTTGAATTTTATTGGGAAAAGATGAATCATTACAAAAATAATTCGCTGAACGTTGACGACGTGTCTTCGTTTTCCACTTCTTCGAAATTACTGTTGTATTTATCTGCAAATTGGAAACCAAAATGTAATTTTTTTCGAAGTCAAGCTTCGGAAAAAAGGAAGTAGTTCCTAAAGCATAAAATTTTCTAATCAGCTCCAAAACACCGATTTACGATCTTACGTAAAGATTTTTTTTTAATTATCCTACCCTTCAAATCACCGACTCAGTTTTCAGAACATTAGGAGGTGTTATGAAAACCTTGTCCCTATTTGACAATTCCATTGTACATGCCAGGAGTTTGCAATTTCTTGGCACCGAAGAATACGTAAATAAAATATAGATAGCCAAAGGATCAAATGTTGAAAAGGAAAGATTAAATGAGATAAAGAATTACAATGGCTTCCCAGAAAGTCAGCAGAGTGATAGTTGCGATTGCTTTCAAGTGATTCCGAGGAGTAAAAACCAGAGCTGAAGTCCTGGGATGGCTCCTTTCGGCCGAGAAAAAAAATCTCTCAAGCGCAAATTTTTCTGTTCTTTCTAACGCCAAAAATTACCCGTATGTTCACTTGGCAAATTTTCGATCAAGGCAGTTGTTGTCAGTGCACTTGGAAATGAGTGTGTCATATTTTCATCGCTAGTGCTGCTACATATATGTTCACGAAGTGGAATACCAATTGTTTCCTGAATATGTTTCCCTAAACGCCGCCGATAATCCGCGATTTTTTTTTCCTTCTGTAATATAAACTTTGATTTCCTCAGAGAAAAGTCTGAATTGTTTGTAATCGAATAATGAATATTGTGAAAATATCAGAAGCAAGGATTTAAAAACAATATCTTTATTTCAAAGAATGAAACCAACATGCTCTATTTGACACTTCAGATCAGCGTTTTCATGAACAAGTTGTTGACATCGTTTTTGCTCCATCCCGGCAACATCTGGATGATATAGTGGTTTATTACCATCATTTTTCTCACCACTTTTAGGTATTCGACGTATATGAACAATTTTTGGCAAAAATATTAGACCAAGCGTTATATATGTACTCAATAAAACTGAAACTATGACAGTAATCAACACTTTTTTCCTTCAGTAACCGTTTGAAATCCAAATTCAAAGAATTAAAATTGGAAAAATTAAAATTGAAAAGGTGATAGAGTGAAATAGTTTTTTCACCATATTCATCTTAAATGTTCATCAATTCAACGTTGTTCACCTTACAATAAAAATAGTAGTAATAATAATAATGATGGTACATTCGAATCTTCATATTTTCCCCCACTGATTTGCCCATCGATGTAACACGTACCAAGTATTTCAATTTTTGAAAAAGAAAAGTAAAATTTCGATAGGACGAAAAAGAAAAGAAACCAGTAATGCTAGTAAAAGCAAAATTCGCATCGGATTGAGATCGAATAAGAAAAGTGACAATTGGTCCAGTTATTAAAGATAATATGGTAACATTATATATAGCCAAACCAACGAAGCGTAAATCGTTTACAAAAAGAGGTTTTAAATTACGCGTTTCATATGCAAGGAAAAAACCAAGCACCAATAGTAAGCATTTATAACCCATTACCAAACCTGTAATAACGACACTTTTTTAGTCCCAAAAAACTTAAATCCTCAAAACATTTCAATTAATCATTGTAGTACCATCAATGATTTTTTGAAAAAAAAAAGCATGATTAATTATCTTTGCAAAAGACAAAAGTTATGAAGTATCGAAACATGAATTCACAGAAATATCAAAAAAGAAAAATTATAAAAATGCTCCGCACTACAACATAACGATACAAACTGTCTTCTAGCAAATATTCAAGCATGATACTTCTGGATATTCTTTCTTATATGCAACATTGTCGAGCTATAGTTTTCGAAATGCTTTTTTGCTTAGAAAACATTGAAATTTATCAGGAAGAGCTATAATCTTTTGCTATAAATTCAAAATCTCTGCATCGTCTCATGCAATTTTAATCTGTTGCTATACGGAAATTTAACAAAATTTTCGAAAAATTCAATACCTGTCCACACTTCATGTCGTCTACTTTGACAGAGTTCAAGGATCGGTAGAAGCATAATGTCTTCCTCAGTTCCAATCGGTGGTTCCTGTAAAAGGCGACGAAATTCAAGACATAACATAAGGTCAGACTTGTAAAAGATCAAATTTTTGCAGATAAATGAATTTTACAATCGCCGAACTTAATCCAGTTTGAACGTGAAAGGAAAGTTTCGATAAAGTGCACGACCCTTAAAAGACATTCGCTTTTATGCTTACTTGTAGTGGAAACCGTTGCTCGACTCTTTGAATTGGATCAAGTGCAAACCAACAAATTATTATGATTACATCAACCACAAAAAACGCAGTAATTACGAGATAAAATTTGCATGCAGGTACTGGCTGCAAAACACAAAATAGCAAATTTGTCATGGTCTTTAATTCGTTTTCAAAATTTCATATCGCAGAGATGGAGATTACAAAAATGATGAAACATTGTGGAAATAACTTATGGTATCTTTTGAGATTCAATGTATTTTGAAGTGCTTGAGTATACTACCTGGCCAGTAGTTGGCATGGAAATGAGATGTTGATTTTCTGCTGTGCCTAATCGATGAACAACCCAGACTTTGGCAAACATCGACCCATAAGCAAACGTGAAACCAACCATTAAAAGTGATATTTGTGACTAAAAATTGAAAAAAATTCAATTGAATGAACAAGAGAAATGGAGTTACGGTCTTAATGCTACTTTAATTTTGTTTAAATTTAAACTAACATGACAAAGTAGTGTGAATGAATGCTTTGGAACAGTGATTCCACGTGCTGGTAGGCCTAATAACAACAGGCTCAGGCAGCAAAGTATACATCCAACTAGAAGTACATTGTTACACTGCGGTTGAGATTCCATTATTATCCTGAACACAACCACTGGAATTTTTCTTTATATGGAGTTATAAAATCGCAACTATCACACCCATAAGCAGCACTCTTGAATGGTATAACTGATAAGCGAATTATTATTATCTGTTGAACTTAACTTTAGAATAACACTAATATCAGAACAAAATCCAAGTATTTTAATATATGTAACGCTAGTTTCATGATGCTATCCAGCTGTTCAATTTTTTTTGCTGATATGCAAGTGGGATGAAAGGGGCGAAATACTTGATATTTCCGCATATCGAAATTTTTATTATGTCAGCATCAGATTATAGCAAAAAACGTTGAGACAGAAGAATTTTTGCAATGGGTTTAAGAAATTCGGAGATTGGAATGTTCATTGTGTTGCGACTATGATGAACGAGTGATTTTTATTTTAAATTCTTGTAGCTTTTTAATGACTACTACTTATCAGTCATCTTTTTCACCAAAGTAACTAAAAAAGCAATGGATGGATGCAACAATCAAGTTCATTAATTAACAAAACTGACATCCTATCAGAGTTCCTGACGTTAAATATGAATATGATACATGCAAGAAAGATCCCGATTACTGCCAATAACGCAACTGCATAATATAACTGAAATGATAGTTGATCAATCTTTCACTATATTTTATAATACAGATTTAACTATGTAATAAGAATAAAGAAACTGAAACGATCAATTGCTCAGCAAAAACATAACCCCTAGATCAACAGTAAGAAGCCATTCTTGTATAAGAGTCGAATCCGGAGGAGGTAATCCATTCATTGTTGAAAATTTTTCCTTATCATACCAGTTCATATTAAGTGTCGTTGTATCGTAAATACCCAGCATTTGGTATTTTCCATCTGTATGAATATTTATTGCGTTCTTATTGAACTGATTTTTCCTTATCGATACTTAAAAGTTTCAACACTGAGATAATTGAAATCTAATTAGTTGTTTACTAAATTGAAATACTTAAGAAAAATCTCTTTATATTGACCTTGCAATTGTTCGATCTGTGTTCGTGCGATGCGATCGCCGAGATCGTTGAACATAACCTGGCCCTGAAAGTTTATAGAACTCAACTGATGGCTCTGCTGATGCAACTTTGCTGTATTAAAAGCAAAAAAACAATAAGAACTTACTGAAACACCCCGAAATTGCGTGCCTTTAACGCAATTGAATAATTTTTCTGCAATGCTTGTATTATTATAAGCGAAATTCTCAAGGCTTTGCCCTGCTTGAAGTTTTGATAGTGTGCAATTGAAAGCCAATGCAACTGCCCTGTAAACAGATTTTCAGCAAATAATTGCCTGATGCTACAAGCTAATTAATGACGGGTAATGTAATTTGAAGTGCTTGTCTCTATTCCACATTTCAATACGCTGTACTTTTCCCAAGTACTGTTTTGAAAGTCACATTTTTAGGGATGGAATTCACTATTTGGATCAAGTTAACTGGTCTAGTCTTAATCCAAAAAAATATTGTAGAAAGCTCAGTTGGAGCAGAAGTTATGCAAGAAAATAAGGATCGACTTTCACGATCTGCAATCTTTTCTTCTAGGCAAACTTGAAAATCTGAAGATGCTTAAAATCCAAGTTTCTATTAACATTACGTGCATCCTAAAAATCCGAAAAACAAGTATGTAGAAGACTTTTGAGATACTCTCGGAAAAAGAGTAGCTTCGAATTATTTTTACCAAAAAATAAGATTACACAATGCTTTGTGCAAAAATCAGTTATTATCTGGTAGAAATAATCACAACTCATCAAAAATTTCATATGAAAATGGAATTAAATCCGAAAAAAACCAAAAACTACCGTTCCTTCACAGAAGATCATAGACGGCTATATATGTTACTTCAAAAAAATCCATGATGCAAGTCTCTTTGTGGATATTATGCTATATTTCAGGATACTTACCCGCTCATGTTTTAACACCGTCCGGTAGTTACCATACTCTGATTGCCGCGATATAATGAGCTTAGACTTTCTGGTCGAAAGTTCTGTTAAGTCCATAAAGCTAGAGCTACATAAATTTTCAAAATTTTTAATGGACTCTCTCAATAAAAGTGGAAAAGTAATTACCAGACAGCGTCATAAGCTAGGGGAGCTTCTGGAAAACCACCAGTTTCAGCTGGATCAGTAGTAAGCATACTCATTAGTCGTTTCTGGAACTGCTTACCAGTCATTCCAGAAATTGTCAGTTCTTCGTCTCTACTTAACATTATACTTTCCGTTGTGATGTGATACTGTGCTGCTTTGATCATCTAAAAATGATTTCTTTATTATAATTATCTGCTGTATTGTAAAGTGCACAAGTTTTGACTTCCTTATGGCACAACAGCAGTTTCTGTTTTCTTATATTATTGGAAAAAAGAAAACAAAAAACCAACAAACTAACTTGTTCGGCAGTGCAATTAAGTGGCTCATCAGTTGGTGGAATGAACCACGTATCAGCATACCAACCAATGAAAAACCAAACATATTTTCTACCATAAAGATCATGTTTATAGGCCTGTGAAAACTGTGGTTATCTAGGAAGTTCATAATAACCTTCCAAATTTTTCAAAAAAAATATGATTTTTCAAAATGTATCTTTTTAAAATTTAATCTTTTTAAAATTTAATCTTTTTTAAAAACACTTTTTAAAATCGCTTGCACAAGTTTCTGGATTTTGAAATCCATAGCTCACCTGACAGAGTACACGACGAGCCTCAGTAACGTAAAACAGACCAACAATAATCCGAGCATCTTGACGTACCAAGGTTTTTACAGCATCAGATGGATCACCGTAAAAACTTTGCCGTTCAACTCGAATACCCTTCTCCCTGCATTGCTCTTCAAGATCCTTAGCTGTCGATGTGAATACTTCTTCAACTGATTGCAAAATCGTTATTTTCTTCCATTTAAATTTTTGGAAAAGTTTTACCCTGCAAAAAGTTTGGAATCTTTAAACTACATATTAAAAAATTATAAAATCGAAACTGATGCACAGGAGCAATTACCGTGGGATGAAAAAAACTAAAAACCTTGTTGGATTTTGCATATTTGCAGTGGGATGAGTTCTAAAAAGTGTCGGAAAACGATGCCTGTTGGAGAGTGCTGGAGAACTACCGCCATAAGAAAGCTAAAAAAGAGATGCATCAGATAAGTTCAACTGAAACGTAGATTTACAATAAAATAAAGCAAAAAAAAGAGAGATCTATAAGAAACTTAACAAGAATATTTACCACAACGAGATTCCAGACTGGAGCCGCTTCCGCAAAAACAGTCGTAACCGGGCTACAACCAGCTAGTAACATCAACTTTGTCGGAGCTTTATATAACAATTCGTACATTTGCTTTGCTGCTAGACCCGGCTGACACTAAATGGAAGATTTATATTACAGAGAAACTAATTACTCTCCCAATTGAAGTTTTTTAATTATAACAGTGAAGTAGTTACTTTACTGGGCCATTAAGTTGAAAAATGAAAATATATTTTTCAAATTTTTAGTAGTGATGCACCTCAATAAAAATCCAGTTCAATGAATTTTTTAAAGGAAGCAATAATTAAGAAGTAACGTAGAAATTTTCAGGAAACGTACCTTACTATCATGATAATGCAATTTCAACACATAACCCGGTAAAATATTGGTATTGGCATTTACATCCTGAAGGGCGATCTGAACGGCCGGTAGACACGCTTCACCACCAGCCCATCCACCCGAACCCGCTTCCATCGGAAAAACGCCTCCAATATGCAAGTCCACACAATTTACAATTGCGCATAAGCAGCCATTAATCAGTAGTATCCGAATCAACATTGCCGACACATTTTGCTTTATATTATTCGCTGTTTCACCTACAGATTATCTGTTTCACGGTAAATTACCATTTCACTCTTCAAACCCGTACACTTCTCTTTCTTAACTTTGACGTTATTATGCGCAAACACTAATAAATGATTTAATCAGGTATGTAATGTAATGTAAGCACAAATTTTATTGAGTTTAATTGAAAATGATGTATGACATTGAATAAGAAATCAGAGAAAAGTAGTAAAATTGATTTACCAAATATTAAAAAAGAAATCAAATTTATAAATGATAACAAACGTCAGGAAGAATGTAAAATTTGTTGGTATTCAAAAAAAGTTATTGAGTAGCTCAAAATCTATAAGGTAAACAAACGACATTATTTTAATAAATAGAAAAACAGAAATGGAGAGCATATAATATTATTATGACAGCACTTGCCTTTATTTTTTCATTAAACCGAGTGGAGATAAAACATTTTTTCTTGTTTATAACGAACATTTTAGTGTAATAGGGGTTAAAATGTCAAGCGAAAAAGGAGAAACTAAAGAGAGGTCAAATCAAGGCAAAGTTATTTCTCCCTGAGGTACTGAGAGAAAAAATTATTCATTATAATGTTACCGTTATTAATGTTTTTGTGTAGTTTTTTTTTGTGCTTTTTGTTTCAATCAAATAAAATCCTTAATTTCTATTCTTATTTCTTATTCCACCTATCCTTCCTACCAGAAATGATTCAGAAATGTTTAGTTTAATATTATTATTGTTGAAAGATTATGATTGCTAATTGCCCATGATGATTATTAATTACTCCCACTTGTATTGTTTATCTGTTTATTGGGTTTTATTAGATCTATTTAATCAAATGCAATATGCAAATCGTTCATAATGACATCCATCAATGCGCTACTTCTATAAAATAGTATCACCGTTAGTCAAAAATGTTTAATTTTTTCATCCAAAAGGAATGCTTATAATACTTATGAAAAGCGAAAAGAATTAAAATCATAGAATTGGTATATCAAACGTATTTTAAATAATGAAAGGAAACAGATGTGACAAATAGATATCGCAGGTAAATTCTGTTGTAACACAAATAACAAACATGTGACCAAAGGTATAGACATTTGTAAAGTGAAAAATAATCTAAACGAAAATGAAAAATTCTGTATGTCTTTTATTCATAAAATTTGGTGCTTAATGTAAGTTAAACTCGAAGAGATAGGACAATAGAAAGGTACATATAACAAGTAACAACCGCAGATAAAAAAGGAAAATCTTCTGACGAAGAGAAGTGATAGAAGAAAAAAATGATCCATCGTATAATCAGATTTTTCCTCATCCACGTAAATGCATTCAGAACATCATTAAGTTTTATTAAATTCATCAATGACGTCATGTTGGGCGGAAAATGTTATTTACATAGAACTTCGAAACTTCATTCCGCTCAGATATTCTGACCTTATTCGAAGTGCACTACCACCTCGATATGCACATCTTATCCCTATATGGATAGAGATGAATAGATAGGCTTCTGTTATATGTTATCATATCATTTAACACTAAACGCCAAAGGCTCCAACTTCTCCCAACTAATATTTTTAGCACAATTGTTAGCATTTTGGTGTTCATATGTTAAGCGGGCAGCAGGAGAAAAAAACGATTAAATTTAACATTGAACAAACATTACAGCGAGATGATGTTCTCTATAGACTGACATTTAATAGATTGGAGGACGGAGTGAGAACTAAGCGACTAAAAGTTTGTTACACAGCCAGATAACGTGTCATGAGAGATTATTGCAATTGCAAAGCCCAGAAGGTAAAGAGCTAGATATTCTATCATTCTTTCTCTTGCTAACTATACTGTGGCCAAGAAACACAGTTACTTTGTTATCTATCATTTGAACTTGACACTCAAACCTGCTAGCATACAAATTTTCCACATTTTTAAAATAAGATTTTTATTTTTTATTTAAATAAGTTTTTTTTTTTCACTTTTTAAAATAAGAAAACAATGACAAGCGAATGAGTGGGATGTAATAAATACCTGATCAAAGTTTTTTCAAAAGATGTGAAAGGAATTCAAATGATTCGCGATCAATTAAGAAATATAGCTGAGGGCGTTTGTTGGAAGTAGAACTGATGAAAAATTAGATAATAGATGAAGTAAAAAAGACAGAAATAACAAGGGGAATAAACTAACTTAAAATGCGAAACAAAAGCAAAACTGAACTTGAAGAACTGATACTTCAACCTCAATTATAAAAGATTTGTCTGCTGAACTTTCAGGAAACGATATTTCTAACAACTTTTCATCTTTTCACTTAGGCAAATGCCTTCCTCTCTTAGATAACGATTGAAAGACCTACAATGGGATTTTCTTGCAAAATAGTAAAAATAATGTATTTTTGAATTTTTAGATGATAAACAATCATCCTTTAAACACTGATGAAAGAAGAAAAGGGAATAATATGCATAATGAAAACACTGAATAAAATCGTTTCTGATGGAAAAATAAGATGGAGTGCGATATTTGAGAATTAAAATGAGGTAGCTGTGGAGGATTGGATAGGGCGACGAAATGTTGTCTCCCTCCACAATCTGCTTCAAAAATATTGACGCCTTGAAACATCATCAAATTCACACGCCTTAAAATACATTTCAGTCGATGGATAATACTTGCAGTATTCTTTTCAGGGGAACATCAATAACTCTCTCCGCAATGTCACATAAAAAAAACGTTGCAAATCAATTCATGATATATATATATATATATATATATCATGAATTGATTATATATATATAATATAAAGAGCGCTTGAATGGGCAGAAGCGTCCATCGATATTCTGATTGGATGATATTCGTGTGCCAAAATGTGTGAAGAAAGTGAAGTGTTTGCTAGGCTGAAACCTTGATAAGGCTTGAATCTAAGCTCATTGTAAAACGTGGGATGATGTATCATTGATATTTTTATTGGATGTTACGATACTAAACGAAAGAAACACCAATCAAAAATTGTTTTTTATTGATCTCAAAGTTCATTAAATCTCAGGAAACTTATAACAAACAAGTGAGAAACTGGCCTGTTGGAATTGAAAAATTGTTGATTAAAGCTTCAAACATTGTCGTCACCCTAATTAAATAGCACGTCCAATGCGATCAGGCCCCTCGTCATTCCTTTCTTCCTCCCTTTTTTTCTATCTCACACTTTTCCAAACGTACTCTTTCTCGCCATCACTATTTCTCTCAATCACAATTTTTCCAATCTTAACGGAGCTACAATTAATCAAATTAGCACTGAAACATTTTAAGTATCCAAAATTTTTCAATTATAATTGATATTTTCGAGTTGATTACTATTTCACTAAGCTTTGCTGGAATATAAAATTTACATCGCAATGTTCTCCCATGAAATTGTGAAAATCCGGGAACACTCATGGAACTTAACCTGGAATTTTAACAACTTAGAATTCACTTCTCCTAAAAATTATTAACGTTGAGATCAAATGAAAGAATAACACATTTACATGTAAGAATATGGGGAATAAATAAATATTATTATCCCACTAAGTGGAACGTGCACGAAATAGTTGGCTTTATTGGAAGCAAAAAGTTTTATAAATTTCAATAATATAAGGGAAGAGCGTGAAATGAATAATAAATAACAGGCAGAAGATTAAAAGAGTGAAATACACGACTGAGNACTAAGTGGAACGTGCACGAAATAGTTGGCTTTATTGGAAGCAAAAAGTTTTATAAATTTCAATAATATAAGGGAAGAGCGTGAAATGAATAATAAATAACAGGCAGAAGATTAAAAGAGTGAAATACACGACTGAGAAACATGGAATTTCAGGCCAAATGTAATCAAACTGAAACAGATACAAAAGCAGAGAGATATGAAAATAGAAGGGAGTCTGAATATTTTAAAAGTCTGAAAATATGAGTTAAAATAGGCTATAGTTATTTATATATTTCTCATTTGAAACTATGCTATCAGACAGCTTATATCTACAAAAACTAAAGCTTAATAAGAGAAATCTTTAAAAGGAAAAATTCGTAGAATGCTATTTGAAAATAGGAATTAAATGTTTCGAAAGCAGAAGAATTTTTCAAAGAATTTTTGGAGTAAAAGCCAACCTCTTGCCTAATTCATTTGTAAGAGTCAATGTAAATTCTTCATTGCCTGGCCATCGATCACTTTCGATGAAAGCTTTAGCTCGCGTGAAATCTGGAATAAATAAATCCGGACACTCAGTCTGTGAGCTGTGGCCTTCATCCAAATGTTCATCTGAAATTTCCATTCGAAAAAAATTAGCTGAAACAATTCAATTCCAATATTTTTTCGATATTTGCTTTAATCTGCTCAGTACTGTCATATCTTTTACATTAAACTGAGAATAATATGTAAAGAAAATTTTGAAGAAATTTTAAATTACTTACTATTTCTTTCCGGATAAATATACGCTACATGGGGTACATAATCGCACCTAATATTCTCGTACGGTAAACCGTTCACTTCGTTTCTGAAAATTTTTCCTACAAAAATGAATCGGTCATTAAAATGATTTCCTTAAATATAGTTCAAAATAAGGTTTTGTTCAGGCAAATTATCATAAAATCAATATTTAATTAATCACGCTGATTAAAGCAATTAGTTATCATTGTAAAAAAAATTAATCAAAACTAATCATTTCATTTTACAGCTCAAAATATCGATTGTTCAAATAAACACCTTTTAACAAGATTTATAATGAGCGCTCGGTCAAATAGATGTGATTCCATACATCCATAAAAAGAATTTAAGTGCTTATCATAAAGATCCAATGTTTTTTGTCGGATCAATTTTGCTCGCGTTACTTGCCTTTTCAATTTAAAATTTACACTATTCCTTTCGTCCTAAATTTTGCCACATTTATCACTTTTATAAATATGAAATCGAATTACTTTCACTGTTACAAAATTGGCAGATTAAAATATCATAAAACAATAACAGACTTGTGTTCGTCCATAATTCCCTAGTGGAATCCGTTTAACACTTATTATAACTCAGAAGTAAGATAAAGCATGCTGACGAGCTGAATCGTTTAAGTAAATATGCATTTTTCCTGCTTTGATAACGAAGTGGACAGAACTTACTGAATCATAGATACATGATGAACTTTGTTGAGAAGTTTGCTTTTTTGTAGTAGTTTCATTAGAATGCTCACTCGACAAAACAGCTGGGCGCTTTGCCGTTATAAAATCATACCTTAAATAATTTTAATTCATTTGGAATGATTTAAATGATCATTTTAAAATTAGCTAATGGCCGACCACAAGCAACAACCGAAGAAACGACATCAGCTTATGAATTATATATATCCTATCTGCGAATTTCAATCAAGAACTGATCATCCCTTTTTCTCCGTCGTTGTATTCAAAATACAACATTGCGTAAATTTTTAAGTGAATAAAATTAATAAAAAGCTGTGCTGTCACAGATGCGATGAATCATCGGCACGCATACACAAAAGTTGACAAATCGATAGAAATCTCACATTGAGAAGATTCTGCTCGTTAAACATTTTTTTCAATTCTTTGAAAATAAAAAATGTTTCTCAGTCAGAAATACATAAAGAGATATATGTCTGTATGTATGTATGTAATTTAAGAGATCGGTAGGAGAAAATGATATCGAAATAATTTGCTGTCTACATTTACATTTCCCTAACGAAAATGGTTTAACTGAAAGAGGTCGATCTGAAGTATTTCTGCTTTGTACATTTCGTTTCTCTCGATGGATTTCACATACTACAGGAATCAGTGAATTTTTGACAAAAATTGAACTAATTCAGTCTTAAGACTCAATTGTTTCGAATGTTTCAACGGATTGTAAACTTGATCTCATTACTACAACAACACAGACAACTTTAACCTTTAACACGACATACTTTAAATGTCTTCCACAGCGCTCTGCCAATACTTCTGAGTATGCACGTAAAACACAGTAATAACTGTGAGATACCTTTTGAAATAAGTGAATAAAACAAATATTGATAGTAAAAATGACCTTGTAAATGGTTTATGAAAAAAAATGGGATAGTTTGATGCCGACATTTGCTTCCCCCGCTCCCCTCCACACATTCTATGTATTTGATCAATTAATCTGAAAAATCAAATTAATTTTATACGAAATTTAAATTAAATGAAGCAGTAGATAAGAAATAAATCAATGACTAATTTATGTACGTACATTAAATCTCATTATTTTTGCTAACAAGACTTATTTATTATTTAGTGGGAGAATGCGGGAAGTATCAGAGAGAGCAATTCATATGATTCTCTCCCTAATACAAGTGACTGTGAAAATACTGCAAGTGAAAATACGTGCACATGCTAGCATGACATTTATGTTCACAGTTGACAGCTGAACATACTGTTTAAGCAATCTCGGAAGTCGATTATTTAAAAAGATTCCAATTTTTAACAAATAGACTACTTTCGAAAGAAAATTTGAATTTGTATAATGATAAAGGTAAACAAAGCCAAGATAAATGGTATCCCTTTTCATTCTTCCCTCTTTCCACGCAAACAGGAAATACCACAGCAATCCGCTTTACTAACTCCCAGTGCTTTTACGATATTATCAACATTTTTATCGGCTACGTTACAAAACAATGCTCGCATTCCTGTTATCGATCGTTTTGATATTTAGAGCACATTTTACAACAAAAATGCTGAGAGCGTGGTTGGAAGTTTTTGACGAAATATTGTGAAGATCAAAGTACATTGTTCTGTTATGTCATCCTATTATTGCTCGATTTCGAATAGTTTGCAGTATTTGGGTGATAAGAAGGACATCCTAA